GGTTATGCGTCTTTGGTCATTGGAGAGCTATAAATGTGTAGGGGAATATCCCATTCCAGACAAAGTCCGTTTAGTTGACTTTGATTTTGATGAGAGCAAGGTCAGTTGAACTATTAATTTTTGGTTTTTCATTTAAGCAAGATGTATTGAAATTCTATCAACCATGTTATAGATCAAATATCAGTCCAAAAAAAATGTAAGACAGTGACTGTTGTTGTTTGCTAGATCACATGTTCTTGTAGGATTGGAATGCCATGTATGCATCTTCATTTAATAGATCAACGTACAAGTGCAAGTAACATCGATTATGTGACAGAATATATGTGTTTGTAAAATATGCTATTGAGCTTACTAAATTCTTCTAGCTTCCTTGGACATAATTCCCTTCTTTTTTTTACCGTCTCTAGTTTAGACTTATATGGATGATTCGTCATGGTAATATTGACCTCTCATCCTCAATGTGAATAGCTAATGCATCCAATTAATTATACTTATTGAAAGCATGTTGTTTTCTTTTATTAAGGGAATTTTCTGATATCTATACAACCCTCTTACTTTTCTGTAGATTGTTGGCTTGGTTGGCACTCGTATATGCATATGGAGGCAGAATGGGATAAGTAGAATGTTTCCCTCGCATGAGGGAACCTTTTCGAAGGGTTTATGCATGCGGTATGTGGACAAAATAATAATACTGTCATTAGTTTTAGTTGTAAATGTAAGTGGTAAATGCATTCCTTCATCAGCAGCAATATGCATGGTAAAGACTAAGAACCTAAACTTAGAGATTTATTATTTACTTTCTTTCATCAAATGGTTGAGCATTTGATTGTCTGAATATTTTACTTTTGAGCTTCTATTCCCTAATTTTGATTGATTATATTCTGTTTTAGGTTACTAGTATTGCCACTATTATTGTTATAGACTCGAATGCTATACAAGATGCTTTACTTGCTGAAGGTCCTTCAAAATATTGTGAAAATTCTCTTTACTGGATTATTTCTGTTTTGGAATATATGTATATATATATATATATATTTGAAAGTTTGCTTTTGGTATGTACAAATATTACATTCTTCTCTGAATGCAGTTACTGCGACCCTGAGGCTGTGGTCGGCTGTGAGGATGGGACAGTTCGTGTATTTGACATGTACAGTAGAAAATGTTCTCAAATCATTAGGTATGCACTGCAAGAAATACATTTTCGTAATGGTGTTTATATTTGTTTTTTCCTGTAAAAATAGAGCTAATGAATAAGGCTTAAGAAGACCATTTGACTTGTAGACATGCATTTTCAAGTGAGAGAGAGATTGTTGCCTGTAAAGGATCCAAGGGGATATATAGTTTAGATTAAACTTCCTGTCTGGCTTAAAATTCTCAGTATTGATGTAATATGCATTTATATTGCTCTATGGTTTATGGACTTCATGTTATTTTCTTTTGATTCCTGATTGTAGGGCACATGAGGGGCCAGTAAAATGCTTATGTTTGAGTGATGATCAGTTGATACTTAGTGGTTCTTCTCTTGGTGGTGTCACATTATCTGCACTTTCATCTGGCGAACGGGTAGTGAAGTTACGATCACAAGATTCCTCAGGTTACATTTTATGCCTGCTCTACCAAGAACTTTTGGAGTACAATCGGATTCTGCTGTTTTCTGAAATATTTGCTTCTTTTTATGTCCAAAACATCGACGGTAATTTTGTCTTCTGTCTGGAGTTGATTTTTTGTTTTGTTAGAGAGAGAGAGAGAGAGAGAGAGTTGAAATCCGAACTTCTAAATGAATAGAGTACTCTCTGTTTTCTTTTTTGTGAGTACTTGTGGGCTGCAAATGGGATCAACTAGAAGCCATAATTGTACTCTCTAACATTTGTTTGTGCTTGATAACTGGCTGGATGTAGTCTTAGTTGTACCCTTATGTTCTTGTTGAATGAATTGTATTCATGTGAAAGAGAAATGAAAGAGATCTCATTGCAGTTGTTTGGAAATGTTGGCTCTGTTGGGACATATAATATATGCTAAGTAATATATGTATGGGTTTTATTAATCCTCTTTCATGGAGTGGTAAGTTATATTCATGAGAGCATAAATCTAGTTTAAACTTTTCATGGCAGGCATAAAGACTTTATGTTTCAACCCATGCTCTCACCAAGTATTTGCTGGAACCGCTACTGGATATGGATTTTGTTGGGACCTAAGGTATGGAATATGACTTCATATGTTATTTCAAGAATCTCAACTTACCTGGGTAAACCTATTTCATACTTTAGCTTTCTAATTTCTGATGAAATATATGTTATCTGTTTCCATATTTCCACATCATTACAATTTTAAATACTAGGTTTGCATTACTTTAAATCTCTGAAAAGAAAAGTCAAGCCTAATAGCTTCTTACAGAACAACATTTGTAATAGAATTGTAGGAGGTAACTTTCAATTTGTGATGTTCATGTACCTCTCATGAATCGTGTTCAGTGTTTGTCAATGTGGTCAGTATTGCCCATCCGTTGTAATCGGCTTCTCAATAGGGACCAATTCATTCATTTTATGGTTTTCGAATCTTCACTTTCTTTACAGTCGTTTAGGGTTCTCTTGGAGTGAACTACTCCTAATAGAATCCATAATTTTTATATGATTGTTTTGAAATCATACAAGTAGTATACAAAACCGCAAAAATGGGTCAGCCTGACTCTTTCTGTCCTAGTTGGCGCCACCTCCACCCTTGGATCTCACTCCTTTGACAGTAACAGATGATGTAATCCAGTTGTAGTTGATTGACCATGTTTTCCGTTATGTAATTCAGGATGGGACTTTTGTGGAAGACACGAGTGAGTCAAAATAGTGTATATTCAATGCAACACCAGAGAAATGATGCATCAACTTTGGCTGTTGGTGGAATAGACGGTGTGCTACGTCTACTGAATCAGAACACAGGTGAAGTAATTTCAAGATGCATCTTGGACGGTTATTTATCACCAAGTTCACAAAACACACTTGGGGCTACACAAAGAACGAGGGGAAGAAGGCTTTCAGAAGATACCGCCATTGACAGCATTCTCAGAAGCTGTCGACCTCCCATTACGTGCTTGGCTGTAGGGATGAAGAAGGTTATCACCACACACAACAGCAAGTACATCAGAATCTGGAAATTTGACTGAGGCTGAGAGGCGACTCTTTTTCCTTAGGTGTTGATCTTGACTCTTGACTGAGGCCATTCTGTTTTTGCTAGGATATGATGATATTCATGATAAATGTAGATATATAAAGTTCATGTTTTCAATATAGTTCTTGCTAGGATATGATGATATTCATGACTCTTGACTGAGGACAAACTACAACACTTTATTCTTGAAAAATGCAAACCTGTTTTCAATATAGTTCTTGAGAAAAATAGTTGGTCCAATTTACCTACAGTTACAGAATTGAACAGGTAATAGAAAACGTTTAAGGGCTAGTTTGGCATTGATGTGCTGTGAAAATGATTGATATTAGATTTGCTGTGAGAGAAATCAGCTATGAAAGAAAGCAGTTTGGTGTTTGGTAAACTTTTTGTTAAAAGTGTTGGTATTGATTCCCGCATAATCAGAAAATGATTGCCGCATAATTATTAAACTCAACGCCTCTTTGAAACTAATTCCTGCATAATCAGAAAATGAAAGTATCTCATTAGTTACTTTCCCTTATAGCTTTCTCTCACAACAATTTTTAACAATAAGTGATTTTATCATAGTTTACCAAACGGGTTGGGTTTCCAAAATTTTAAAAAATTCACTTATCACCCCAAATAAGCAATGCCAAACGGGCACTAAATTAAACATGGAAGTTGCTTATCAGGCCTTCTTGTTTCTAATAGCAGAATTGGTAAATATAAATGTTTTAAAAATAAGTATTTTTTTTAAAAAGGAGAAATTTCATCATAGCTTAATCATGCATATTTCCCTTTTTGGGGTTTTTAGGTTTGGTGCTTTTTCTGTCTTGTAAATGTATTTGTTATATTGTACTGTTGGAATTTATCTAATGAAATTTGTAGTCAACGGGGTCTAGGACAGTAGAAAAGGGTATTGACTTGTCGAGAAGATGTCTCAGGTTCGAACCCCCATGACATTTAGTTGTGTGTATGAGAAACCCTTAATTTAGACTATCGTTTGTATTTTAAAAAAATGACATTTGCAAGTTAATAATTAACTAGCCTCTTCGCACATGCTTCCTCCCCTGCGAGAGGCTTTTTTAAAAAAAATTTAAATTTATTTTAGAATTAAAAAAGATAATGGATAGTTGAGATCCATTAAAATAGGATTCATTATCTGATTTTTCTTTTAATTTTAATTTGTTTCAATATGAAAAAGTGTGAATTTACCATATTATCCTCATTTAATTAATAATTTCAATTCTTAATGTTTTCATTAACCAATGACATTTTCTAGTATTTTGAATGTTTTACTATTCTCTGCCTTTTGCTTTATATATATAGATAAATAAATAAAGTCATTTAACCCCAAAGTTTGTTTTTGTAACAATGGCAAAATTTGTTTTCTTTTTTGGAAAATTAGAGACTTTAAGCCTATGTGTAATTTGATTAAGGGAGATTCACTATTATATCCAATATAGGAGTCCAAATTATAAAATTTAAAAAAAACCCTATATGAAATGGACTTTAGAAATACACCCAAAGTCCATTTACAACATAACAAAAATGCTTTTAACTTCTTTTAAATTACAAAATTGCCATTAATTTCTTAAAACAAATTTAACCTCAAAACCTCATAAAAAAAACTCAAAACACTCAATAGGGCATCAAAGGAATTTAATAATCAAAATTAAATTCAATAGGGCCAGTTTTCATTTTTTGAGTTGGTTTATAGAAATTAAATTGTGTATGATTTATCTATATTATGAATGCTTTTTTTTTTTTTGATCAACCATATTATTAATTCTAATAATAGGTATATGACTAAATATCTCTTTCATTAAGCCCAAGATTGAGCCCAAGCCTTCACACCCACCCGAAGCCAATCTCATTAAAAATTCAGAACGCTCAATTCATTTCTTTGACCTCACTCTGATTTTCTTCTTCCCCAAAATCAAATCAAACTAAAAACCCAAACCCTAGAAACCTAGACCCTCCCCCAAAAATGGTGTGCATACGCAAGGCCACCATAGACGACCTCCTGGCCATGCAAGCCTGCAACCTCTTCTGCCTCCCAGAGAACTACCAGATGAAATACTACCTCTACCACATCCTCTCATGGCCTCAGCTCCTCTACGTCGCCGAAGACTACAACGGTCGCATCGTCGGCTACGTCCTAGCCAAGATGGAAGAGGAGAGCAACGAGTGCCATGGCCACATCACCTCGCTCGCCGTGCTCCGAACCCACCGCAAACTCGGCCTCGCTACTAAGCTCATGAGCGCGGCCCAGAACGCCATGGAACAGGTGTTTGCAGCTGAGTATGTTTCGCTTCATGTGAGGAAGAGCAATCGGGCGGCTTTCAATTTGTATACGGAGACTTTGGGGTATAAGATTCATGATGTTGAAGCTAAGTACTATGCCGATGGGGAAGATGCGTATGATATGAGGAAGGAGCTGAAGGGGAAGAAGGTACATGGACATAGTCATGGACATGGTCATGGGCATGGGCATGCGCATCATCATCACCATCACCACCATCATGAACATGGTGGTGGGTGTTGTTCGGGGGAGGCAGTGAAACCGGAAAAGACAGAGGCGAAAAAGGTGGAGAGAGGGAATGCGAAGGCGGAGGCAAGAGCGGGATGAGAGTGAGAGAGGTAAATTGGGAACTGGGGAAAGTGTATTTTCTGTTGTTTTACTTAATCTATGGTTTTGATGCTTACTGCAACTTGGAAAATGCATTTGAGAGTTCAGAACTTATATGGTATTTGTATTAAGGTGTTGACGTTTAAATATATACTCTGATTTGAGTGGTTTATGTTGTCATATTTTGTTTATTTGCCGTTTATTGTGTCAAGGTCTTTTGTTTATGTGTCTCCATTTTTTTTTTCTGTTGTCTGCTAATAGTTACTCTGATAATTTAGTTTATGAATGCATTACTGATTCAGAAACATGATTGTGCGTTGATAAGAGATTTATATTGTTGATGTGTGTTTTTTCTGTTTGATGATGGGTGCCTGATGCTCCTTAACAATTAATACTGATTTTATTTTGGTCAATAGTACTGAATTATATTAGAAGCAGAGTTTACAAATAATACTGAAATAGAATAGGAGAGGTGGCTAGGTTTGTTTTATTTGCTTGGTAATTCAGCAAGCCACACTCCCACAAGATTACAGGCTTGTTCTTAAATGGGGAGGAGCTGTCTTTGTGCCTGAAGGAAATTTTCTGGCTGGATTATTGGCGACTCTTTTTTTATATGTATATATTTCAAGTAGGAATGTGCAAGTGACTACTTTGTCATAAGAGAAGCACATCGTTGTATAGAAGAGAGGTTTATTTGATGCACTTGTCAACATCAGACATATAGGCATTAATGACTAACAGTAGCATTTTTTAAGGTGAGCATGCCTCTGAAATTAAGTTAGATGATTTAAGTTAACCTACTTAGTCTGCCTGTTTGATTGGAGATCATTTCTTTTTCTTGTTGCCAATGCTTTTAATCATAAATAGTTAGAAATGAAAGTTTCTCTGTTTTTGGCAATTGTTCTTTGTAGCAGCATCTTGCTCTCTTTCAGGCTCCTAATTCATTTGTTTGTTTAATGTTTAGAATTTTAAGCTGCTTTGAAACATGAGTTGTACTTGGAAAATGTTGAATAGCGAGGCTCGTCTTTATGATCAGTAGTTAATAACTCAACTGTATTAGCATGCTGGTGCATAACGGGTATTGAATTTCTTTAGGCATTCCAAGGTGTTGAATGACCCTGGATCCAGCAAAGTATAGGCAAAAAAAGTTACAACATTTATAATACATTAATGATAGTACAAGGAAATGGAATGGAAGCTTTTATCCATGCACTGAACAAAAGCTTTGATATGCAATAGTGTGGCAAGAATGGGCAACCAATGAGAAGTTGCTAATAAATTTCTTACACTATTTGCCGTTTCTTAGGAGTTTTCGTGGCCATGCTAAAGCATCAGGTACGTTTCTTGAAAAAGAGAACATGCAGAAAACAGTATGATGTTGTAGTGTGAGAAGTCAGCCTTGTCAGTGATGTAAGTTGGGTCAAGTTATCTGCGTGAAGGTTTGGATATCGTGATTGGGAATTAATGTATTTGGTTTAACTAGTATTGTAGGTTTCTTTCTTTGATTCCGCATTGTTTTTTTTCTTTTATTAAATTATATGGGTATGCAGATTAATCTAGTCTAAATAGCTTGTCGGTTGCAGAATTTGTTATATACTAGCAAACTGATTAAGAAAACCATACTTCCTAATTTTCAGCCTTGCCCTGGCCGTGAATTTCTCTACTACTTGCCATTTGATTCCCACCCCTACTTTCTTTTCGCGATAGGCGTGCTATTCGTATGTAGAATGATGTATACAGCCATGTGATATATTCATTGAGAGTGGCCTTTCCCACTTGGACTGCTTTTTCTGTGTTTGTTCATCCATTTGAATTCTACCCAGTCTGCATGTTTTTTAAGAGCACAGATTAACTTGGTATAGTATAAGGCCAGAAGTTGTATGAGAATGGGATGCCATTTTGTTTGGTTGATGGCATCCTCTTTTGCCATTCTGGAGTATACAACTGCCAACCCCCGCCCCTTTTTTTTCTCCCAAACATGTTTCTGCTGGAACGATTGTATAAACAGGCCTTTGTAATCTTCTTGCTCTAGACTTAAGGCTAGAGCAAAGCAGTAGAAGGTCGAAAACCCCACCTGGTTTGGCCCCTTCTGATGTAGTGATGTGCTTTTTTTTTTCCCTAAGACTGCTAGGATGAGTACACTGAGTAGCTTTACGTTTCATGTGCAGCGACATATGTGTGATTCAACTGGACATGTGCTATATATGCCCGGACATTTGTCAACCTAGTTAGTATTTTGCATATGGTACGTGTATTATGTATGTATGTACGTATTTTTAAAACAGACCTTGTGTTTTCTGTACACTTCGCAAAGATATGATAAATGCGCTTTTTAACATCAATTGTACTGTGCAAGTGTGCGTGTTCTTCATGTTTAATGTATTTATTTTGCAACTTTTGGATTTAATGTATTTCTTTTGCAACTTTTGGATAATCCATGTGTTGTATATATTTATGGGGTTAATTACTCAAATGGTCCCCAAACTTGTACTCGATTTACATTTTGGGGCCTCAATTAAATTTTTCGTTCAAATGGTCCATCAACTGTATATTTATTACTCAAATGGTCCCACCGTTATATTTTGTCAATATTTCCGTTAAATATGAGGGCAAATTGGTCATTATTTACCCTAAAATTTGGTTAAATCTAACTGAAAATTAGACGGTGGGACCATTTGAGTAATTAATATAGAGTTGATGGATCATTTGAACTAAAAATTTAATTGAGGCCCCAAAATGTAAATCATGTACAAGTTTGGGGACCATTTGAGTAATTTACCCTATATTTATGACATTTTTGAAAAATTATACAACGCATTAAAAATATTACATAATTAATATTAAAATACTCCGAAATGGCGGAATTTTTCATGTCTTCTTTTCAATTTTGGTCAATATACATATCAAAACCGCTTATGATATGGTTTTGTAGAAAAACTTTTACGTGTTTATGGATATAATCCAAATTCACTTATGGTGCATTTGGATGAGGGAAATAAACTTGGGATTTTGACAAAATTCAGAATTTCTAAATTGACATGAACCAATTCTCGTGTTTGGATAAAAAAAACATAGAAATTTAGAAATTCCTCTTGGGAAAAAACATGGAATTTGGAGATCATAAATCCAAACTTTAAATTCTATCTAAAAGTCGTCATTTCTAAAATCCCAAGAGAGATTAAGTTTTTAAAAAAGATAACTTTATAAATAAAGGTTAAATTCCGTGTTTTAAATTCATCACCCAAACAAGAAACTTTACAAATTCTAGAATATTAATTTCCGTCATTTATGAAATCCTTTATACTTTTTAAATTTCCTCATCCAAACGAACTGTTAAGATTTCATAGGCTCGAAAATAAGAATTTGAAATAACATATGAAATTAGGAGTTTGGAAGGATTCAAATTTTTATTTTTATTTTTCACGTATGCCTCTCCTTCTATCTCCTGAACTAAAATTGTTGGTATAAAATATTTCATCCAAACAGTTAGATTTGAAATCTATAAATTTTAAATGCATAGTTTAAATGAAAAGATTTCAATCTAAATCCAAATCCTTGGACCCCTACAAGGAAGCTTCTTTTTTTTTTTTCTTTTTTTTTTTGGGTCGAATGATGAATTTCATTCCGAAAACTCATCCAAAAAGAGGATGGCATAAATACAACAAAATCAAGCAACCCAGTAAGGAAGCTCAAACATACAAATTAATCTGCAATATTAAATAAACACGAGCAAGAAGACTGTCCCAAAAAATAATATCAAGGAAGCTTCTTATTCTAAGTTGGCGTTTAAAACTCAAACTCTGTATAATACCCATGTTGGTGCTTGTCGTATCATATTTCCCCTTGACATTTTTGACACAAGCAAAGGCTACGGAGGCTATATGGTGCTTTAACACTAATGGGGAAGTGGTTGTGCTTGGTTGGCTACGCCTACGCAATTACACCAAATTATAAGTAAAAAAATATGCTTTATGCCAAAAAACAAATATTACAGCTACGTACAAGCTCACAAAGATAAAGTTGAAAATGACTCAATCTATTTCTTTTTTCTTTTTCTTTTTCTTTTTTGAGATAAGGCCTCCACAGCACAAGGACTCATTTATTGAAATCAAGAAATACAACTGGGGGCAAGAAGCCTAACTCAAATCAATAGAATCAACTAACAGAGCCACCTCAATAAAATCAGAGGCACCTTTAGCCAAGCCAAATAAATCTCCTTAAATTTGCCAATGTGTGTGCCATATTATTTGACTTCTCTTGGAATAAATTGAACATAATCGAAAATTTGTTCCAACGACAAATCATTGCCTCCATGTTGTAAGGCTGCTATTTTTTTCTTTTAGTATAAGCGATAGTTTAAACACACATAATTAAGATATCATGGAGTTTGAATTTGAGATCACTAATCTACAAATCAAGACCCTTTTTCACTGGGCGAGACCTCGTTAACGTAAGGGACAAGTTGTTTAGTTACAACTGCATGCAACGCCAAATGGCAAAATCTTTATTGGTTTGTACAAATTCTCTACTTTACGATATATATGTCACACGTGATGGTATAATAAGTTTAGTTTATGAACCATTTTCTTTATGATGGAAAAGGAAAAAGGTAACGAGCAAAGGTAGATTGGACCTACCTACCCTACAAGCAAACAAATGAGGAATTTTTTTATTGCAAAAGAAGGGTAGGAATCTTTTATCTTATTTATTAGCAATTGTTATAAGGTTAGAGGGAAATTATATTAATGAGTTGGTTTCTTTTTCATGAAACCAAAAATGAACAGCTAAATTATATTCTTAATATCTGGAATCAACCGCTATAAAGCTTTTTTTTTCTTTCTAGAAGAGGCTATAAAGCTTGATAAACAAATAATTTAGTGCTAACGGGTCTAGCATATTGGAAAAGGTTCTTGATTTGCAAATTATTAGTCTCAAATTCAAACTAATAACATCTTAGTAGTACCCTTGTAATTTAAACAATCGCTTGTATTAAAAAAAAACTAAAAACAAAAGGTTAATGCTTTACGCTTTCAACTTCAACATTGCTTTATTTTCTTGGGTTTGAACTTCAACAATATTTTTAATCATGGCTCTTCCCTACAGGCTATAGTGCTTGCCACCAGAACCAGACAATCAATTTTTTTTTTTGGTTTATATTCAAAAGAACTTTTTCTACTAAAAGAACATGTTGATCAGCTCAAGAATCATGATTTTGTATGAAATCCAATCATAAGATTTTTGACTGGCACTCAAATTACTAGGGCTCCTCCAATCATTCCATTTGAAATTCATACTAGAATTTCTCTTCATAATAAATATACATATATATATTTTACATTATCCAGATTTTCTCGATTGTCAAGGGAAAAAAAATAGTCCAAAATTATAATTTATTTATCAATAATTCTACAGCTACCAACTTGTTTACAAACTTATTGATACAAATATATGCGACACATGACATGACAACCTACGTCCTCTATTATTTTTTCCTTTTCAATTACATATTTTGTTCCCAAAAAATAATCACCCAGCCAAAAAAATAAAGATATAGATTACCTGTTTGCATAGTTCATCATTCATTGCCTCATTCGGGCATCGAAAAGATTAAAAAATAACACTACATAGATAGGGCAGCCAATACACATTAAACAATCCTAGCCCACCCAAAGCAGTGTGTCAGTATCAACAATGTGCATTAATTTAATTAATCTGAACCTAACTTACCAAAAACATAAGAAACTCGGGGGCATATCTACAAGATTGAGATTTGAGAGAATTAAATAATGAATAATTACAGAAAAATAATGGTGGGTCTTTTTTTTTTTTTTATTTTTTCCTTTTCAATTGCATATTTTGTTCCCAAAAAATAATCACCCAGCCAAAAAAATAAAGATATAGATTACCTGTTTGCATAGTTCATCATTCATTGCCCCATTCGGGCATCGAAAAGATAAAAAAATAACACTACATAGATAGGGCAGCCAATACACATTAAACAATCCTAGCCCACCTAAAATAGTGTATCAGTATCAACAATGTGCATTAATTTAATTAATCTGAACCTAACTTACCAAAAACATAAGAAACTCGAGGGCATATCTACAAGATTGAGATTTGAGAGAATTAAATAATGAATAATTACAGAAAAATAATGGTGGGTCTTTTTGAACAAGGTGAAGATAATAAAATAACGGTGGGGCATTTTGAGCATATGGTATATGCCAAAAGTAGATACATTATTCAAAAGGACAAGGAGCAAGAGACACTTTCTTTTAAGCCTTGTTGGATGGAATCTCAGTGCCTCCACGTTCCTTCCAACAGTACATCCAGTAATGCTTCAACTCTCTCATTCAAAAAACCTTTGATCACCAGCACCATCACTCACTCTTGCAATTGTAGGTAATTTTAACTTTGAGCTCATTTGTGGCTGATTCCTTGACTCCCCGAAAATATGTGCCAGTTATACATACATACTTTCCATTGACATGCACGCAATGGACCCCACATACATGTTACAAGAGGTAGTAAATATATAACTTGCACATCCAAAAAATCCGTCCAAACTATATCCAATGCCCTCATAATATCGTACAATTAGGGTAAATCAGGGCCGGAACTATGTTTGGGAGTGCCAAAACACCTCCTGCACTCCTTCACACTTCTATGTGAGAGCACAAATGGTGGTGCTGCAGTGTGAGGAGTTAATGGCAGTGTCACTATGTTTTACCTTGCTGCAAACCGGCGGGGTACTCGAGGTGTGCGGATGGCTACATCTCGACCAGATTTCATCAAAGCCAGACGATCCTTAATTGTGTTGTCAAATAATCTGTTGTCTGGGTTCTCTGCATAGCAAACAAAGTAACTACCTACACAAGCATGTGGGAGTGCCATGGCTATCCTGGTCTGAAAAGGCAAAAATTAATAAACATTGATTAGGTTAGGTTAATTGAAGAGCAAAGCAATAAAGATTAAAGAATTGACAAGTTGATCACATGGTTTATATGCATAAAATAAATAAAAGATCATAAACATAGACTGGTCAAATAGGGGCCACCAACCATAAGGTATCCAATGAAGAATGCAAGGAGGGAAATCGTGGCTGTGAAACTTTGGTGCACTGTGGCGGTCCAAGCAGCCACAACTATGACACACATAGAGCCACTGCAGACACCGGTTAAGAAGCAGATTGAGCTGGTAATATCCGAATCAACAATTTGTTCCATTTCTTGTCTTTCAAAGAGCTCCCAAGTGTCTTGTGATGCCTTCACAAAACCCTTCCCATATGCTGCTATCTGATAGTAATTGGTTGAAATTAAGATAACTGAGTTTAACTTCTATTAATTTAGTGCTAAACCATTGACCATTTAGATTATAAGTAATTCAAAATATCGTACGTGATCACAAGTGAGTTGACAAGATAGTAGTAACTTAACAACCAAATGGCGAAAAATAACTTGATGTTGAATATAAAAGTATATGCTGATGCTTTGAATCATTCTGAAAACTAAATAACCAATCATGATCTTACATGACATTTGCGAATGACTTAAAATCTACTTTAAACCAATAGATTGCATGTACACTTCTGACAAAGAAGTTCCATCTAATTTGATTCATTTTAAAACAAGAAATTTATTCTTTATCCATAGCAGGTAGGATAACTCATTTACAGATGATTTCATTGACACAAGCAGCAAACATAATCAGCTATCAGCATAATTCGTTATCCATATTATTCAAACATGATATAGGAACGGCCAGTAAAGTCGCACTGTGTTATAGAAATATTGATCAGCTGGCTAAACAAATATATTTTGCAATGCCAAAGAAATCCCTTATGGTTGAAAAAGAAGCTAGGAACCAATGTTATAATTCTTTGTTCTGCTTTGTATGATATGCAAATAGAATTGAAGAAAATTAATCTCAAAATCAATTGATAATGGCTTATATATAAAGGTACCTGTACAAAGGCCCAGCCATTGCCATATCTGAAGATGGACTCCATGACTCTCAGACAGCAATGTGCACAAGAAAACATGAACTCATCTTCTCCCTCAAGTAAATTTAAGGCTCGAGCAACAATTCTCAGGGCTTCAATTGAAGGCACAAAGAGAGATGCAAAGCATGCACTTCCAAGACTTTTACTCAAGGCTCTTTGAAAGCAAAATTTAGTGTTAGATTGCATTCCTCTGAGATAATACAGAGAAATAACCCTACTCACGGTTATATTTGCCACATTCCTCATTACTTCGGCTGTCCAAGCCAAGCTCAATCCCAGCAAAACTATCATCAGTGGGGTCAAATAGAAATTCAGAGCTCCAATTACTGCTAGATTCCATAGGGACATCCACAAAAATCCAACCCCAAGCATCCAATAAGTGGGTTGATTCAAATCAGGGAACTTTGATACTGGTTCGAGCGATTTGATCAATATCTTGCTACAAAATCCAATCCGCTGCGTGATCCAACAAGCGTATAAGCCATTGCCTATTGCAAAAGCAATAAAACAGACCCCAACGCCATCAGTGGCAGCCTTTTGGAAGCAAATTAGTAGAATTCCAGCAGACAGAGACATGAGAAAAGTGGTCCATAATATGAAATGAACAAAAAATTTAGGCCACACCCTCACTGCCTTTTGCCATGCAAATGCAAGGATAATGCTTAAAAGAGATGCAGCTTCAACTTGTGGTAGAAAAAACTTTAAAACTCTTTTCTCCGCTCTCTTAACTCTGTTGTCAGATGCTTCTATCAGCCCCTGAACTCCCTTGAATATAAGAAAACCAACAAGCCCAATAGCTGCAATCATGTGTAGAAGGAACAGGAACAGAGATATCTTGTTGGTGTATTTTCTTGAATTCAGTGTTGTAATAGATGGCTGGTGAAAATTTTGAGAGAAAACCCAACAACATATCAGACTGATGATTTACAAATTCTTACACAAACTTTGCATATACAGTTTCTATTAATGAATTAAAGCCATAGAAAGAGACCCAAAAAAGACTCCATTTCACATTGGAATAAAAGGGGGGAAAGAGGAACTTCAAAAGTTAAAACAAAATTTGGTACAAGACACTCCCAGATAAAGCATCTGTATCATTTCAAACTGATGAAAGAACATTAGGAAAAAAAAAAGATTTAAAAGGTATTCCAAGAAAAAAGACTGGGATATCTTTGTTTAATCTTCCGTAAACATCACTTAATTGACTTGAAAATCACAAACTGATGAAAGTTAAGCTACCCCATATGTTTAATTCTGTGAAAGCAAAAACAAAAAAACTTACTTGTGGGGTTGGTGTAGAACGAGGCTGAGAATGCGGGGGAGTATGAGAGAAGTGAGAAGGCGATGGAGTAGCACCAACTCTGATATTATTACTTCCATGAGAGAACCGAGGAGGAGGTGGAGTTGCAGCTCTGGTGTTACTATTGATGACGATTCTCAAAGGGTTTGTAGGATTCAGCCTGTGCATCATTGACATATGAACATCTCTCTGATTATGGTCATCATTGGTGTTGCTCTCTGCAGCCACCGCCTGTTCTTCAAATTCAAAACCCACCTCCTCACCTTTCTCAACATCACTCTCTTCCCCCTCTTCCTTGTTCTTCCCATTTTCCTCTCTCACCTCAACTTCTTCACCTTCTCTCTCCACCACCTGCATATCACACCAAAGTTCAGACCTTTTTGGGATTTACATGACCAACAACAACAAAACAAGAAAAATAAAATGAGAAAATTAACAAAAGATTAAAATTTGTTGAATGGTAAAGATGGTTGTTTTACAGGCTCTGCAGCACCCATGTCGACGGTGATGACGTGGCACCGGCGGGTGTGGAAGTGGCGGTGATGCTGCGGAAGTGGCGGTGATGCTGCGGTCTGGAATGTTAATGTGTGTTCTGTACGTTTATGTCTATCTATCTCTCCATCCATCTATCTATTGTTGTGGTGGTGGATGCTGATGTTTATTGGCTCCTCTCTTTTGGACAAAATTAATTACCTCAGAGTATCAGAGTTGCTGGGACCAACATGTTCATAGTCAAGATCAACGCACCAAGGTGGAGCGTGGGAGATGTTGACCAATGCGAGGAGTCTACGTGGGTTCGTGTCAGATTGAGGATGAAGCACGTTGAAACAGAGTGTTCCTGCACTTGGTGGGTGTCTTTGTAATTTGCATTGGGGTGTTCAGAGTACGGACGGTTGGATTTTGTTGTGGGTGTAGTGTTGGACGGCTGAGATGGATGCCTGATGAGCCATGATGGGTGAGGTAAGTAAAAATCAAATTTATGAGGGTGGGAGAAATGGTGGCATAATAGGCATTTGACTTTTATACAAGAAAAGAGGAGAGAGAGAGAGAGAGAGAGAGAGAGAGAGAGGCGTATGCAAAAAGGGATCAAAAGAAAACCCACCTCATCGTCCATGCCTTGTCATTTCCAGGCCGTGCAAGGAACAAACTAGAAACTGCTGTTATTTCTTCTGTTCACTTTGATTCAGAGGAACCGTTATTTGGCATCCATAATCTCTTACGTTTTTTTCCAATTGGAGCAATCCCTTCAAAATATAAGTCTTCAAATTAAATTAAATCAAGTCGAAGTCAACATAACAGTTGCTATGTATTATATATAGTTGTGTTCATAAATTCATCGCTGAAGTGTCTTAACACAACATTTATTATGTCCAAATTTCTGTTAGTAAAATATATGTCGGGTACATGGTTATGTTGAAGTAGTATTTTTCTTTCTAATATTGAAGGATATCCCAATTTAAATCCCCTCATCCTTATTAATAATAATAAAAAATACTGAATCTTTTAATTATGGTCAAAGAACTAAACAAACATAGTCCACTTTTAATTTGTAATTTTAGTAAGATAAATTGTGAAATGACTCAACACCAAAACAATTATGCAAGTATTATTTCTTTCTTCATACGCTAGCTAGCCAGAAAGGTAGATATTTATTCGAAAACACATTTTAGCATGACATATTATACAAAAACCCATATAGAGCATATTTTGAGAGAAAAATCCAAAACTAGCTACTTGTCAATTTATAATTGGTTCTTAGTGTGTTAAAATTTCATAAGAACCAATTAAAAAATAACAAGTGGCTAATTTTGGATTTTTTACTCCAAATAGGTTATGTAACGACTTTTGTACATTATGTCATATTAAAATGGATTTATTATGAAATCCTCAAGATTTAGATGAGTCAAGATTTGACCCAAAAAAAAAAAAAAATGAGTCAAGATAATAGAAAAAAAAATTATTTCTCTATTTGAAAAAATTTCTGACATTAAAAAAAAAATTTATTTCAGCTCAATGATCTTTTTTGAGTCGTTTATCACGAAAATCTTCAGTAAAATCTCCAAAGTTCCATGCTGTAAAAAGTGATGGCAAGCCACATTTGACCAGGGGGAAATGTTGAAAAGTATTATGATAAAAGATCAGTGAAATTGGAGAATTACTTGGACCCCTTAGCTCCACGTGGATGTGACAGGTCAAGCGGTGGGCCCGCTTCTGCTGACTACATTGGAATTAGAGCTTTTTTATTCCTTTTTATAATAATTTGACAGTTAAGGCAGGCCCTACCTAGAAGCATTATTTGTTGTCCCTGTTTTGGGTTGGAGAAAACGTGGCTAAGATAAGTGGGCCTGGACCATCATATTTGATGACTCATAATCATATCCACCTCAACTTCTCTTATTTATGAGTATGCGTCACTGTTTTTGTATTCAAAAACAGAAAATGACAAAGATAAAAAGTTAAGTTTAGAGCACATTGAAGCTGTGTTTCTTTCTTGTTTGGTGAACACTGCCAATTTTACAGTGTTAAATGGAGTATGTTGTTAATATAAATAAATGAAAAAAACAAACAAACAAAGAGACTACATCACTTGAAATTCTGTTTCCTTTTTTTTATAAGTGGGTAAATTTTATTTTACTACTCTAATGTTTATCGAGTTTCAGCCTGAAGTATTTTTTCCGTCTTTATCTCATACCTAACGTTTATTTTTGCAATACTTTCATACACACCGTCAATCTTATCCATTAAGAGGTCTGTTAAACTTTGACGTGGCAATGAATGAGCCACGTGGACTCACTCATATTATGAAAAAAATTTAAAATTTTGAAATAATTTTTTTAAAAAATGAATGAGCACATTGAAGCTGTGTTTCTATCTTCTATTACTATTCTGTTTTTTTTTAAGTAACTTTCACTTTACTACTCTAAAGTTTATCGAGTTTCAACTTTTACTATATTAACTTTTTTTTCATCTGAGTTGCACATACGAAGTTAGTTTTACTTTCACTTTCATAGCTACCGCTACTCTTGCTATTGATAAGTATGTTAACCACTAATGTGGCAATAAATATGCCACATAGACCCACTCATATGGTACCACGTGGTTTGATAATATTATTCATTAAATAAATAAGAAAATATTATTATTTCAATAAATAAAAATCCATCTCCAACAACCTTCATCTTCTTCCCCAAACCCTAGCACCCCACCATCTCCTCACCACCACCCACCCTACTCTATCATGACCGCAAACCACCTCCACCCCACCCTCTCATCATCGTCGCCCACCCCTACACTCTCCTTACCAGCCATCCACTCCTCTTTCTCTCTCCCACTATCTCTCTTCCCCCTTCTCTCTCTCTCTCTCTCCAAACAAACACTCGCCCTTGTAGACATTGGCGGACCCAGAAATTTTTTAGGGAATGGGCAACATTTAAAAAGCTAAAAGTATGTGAGGGAAATCTAAGTGCAAGGAGTTCATGAACCCATCTACATTAGTAGATAGGGAAGAGAGAAACTTTGAATAAATAAACATGAAATCTGTATAAAACAAAATTAAATTATAAGTTGAGAAACTAAGAAAGGACAGATGCCAAATAAGGGGGATTAAAGCTCATGGATATTCATTAAATAGAGATACACCATTAAGGGAATTTTGGGGGGACAACAAGTTTATGTGAAGCAAAAATGAAATTGAATATTACAAAGTCTTTTTCAGACATTTAGTCGAACACATGGTGGGCACCAATAGAGGGGAAAATTCTGTCCACCCCAAAGGATTTTATGGCGAGGGGAGGTGTAGGTCCGCCCGTGCTTGTAGATCCATTCTTAGAGGCGCCCCCACCCCCTACCCCCCTTCCCTTTCTTTCTTCGATATAACCCAGACATAGGAGGAAGTCATCCACCAGCCCTAAACAACACCCTGCAACATATATTTACATTTCATGGGGAAACTTGATGATTTATGTGGTAGTGCTTTTAGTAGGATTTTGCCATGGAATGCTCAAAGATTGCCTACTTGGACTGATATACAATTATGACCAATAATCTAAATATGATGAACGTTTAGTATATGAACTAGTGAGATTCATTCACAACGTTTTTAATCATTTTGATCCTAGAAATATGCGATTAATGTGGTTTAGGATTAGGAGAGGTGAGGGATTTGTATTCTCGTGTTCTTGAATCGCAAGTTTGGAAATTTAAAACATTGGACCAAATTGGCTCAATTGGTCCGATTTGGCCAGTTTTTGGTGCAAATGCCCAGCCCTAAGAGTGCCTTATTCGCGTAGCTTTTTAATTGTAATATTCAAAATGTGAACATGTAAAAAGAGCAAGTGTAGTGCCATTTCAGGGTATTTTTTTCAAGCTTTATATTCAAAATGAAATTTAGATTGATAGGCATGTTGAATTTTGAATCTTCTATGGAACTTAAGTTGGCGCAGAAACAGATCCAGAGCAACATGGTCAAATCTGATTTGGGCTTGGAAGATGATATAGGAATTAGGCAGACAGGTCAAACACATTATATGATCAAATTTTTTTTCTTTCTTGTGTGGTATTTGGGTTAGTTATGCCTTTGCCAATTTGCTACTGCATTTATGTCAAACAAATGGTTTTGTTTTCTTTACGAGAAAAAATGGAGTCATCACGGAGTAGAGGTCCTGGACAGAATAAAAGATACTATCTCAGTGTGCAGCTTGGGTTGCTTAATGAATAATACTAGTCACACACTTGCGAAGGATCAGATCATATACCAATATTTATAATTGATACAATTGATACGAAAGGTAACAATCCAAACCACAAAACTTTAGGCCTTAATTACATGCTACAAACTATATAACGAGTTGAAGCAGTAAGTACTAATAAAGTCCCACGTTCGCCTTGCTACGAAAGAAAAATCTTACAAGACCCCAACACAACACAACAAAATTCTCAGCAATGGTTTGTAAGTGTTCCAGACAACCTATCACTCTCGACACTCATAATTCTACAAGATCGGCAACTACTGTTGCTTTGCGTTACTACCAGAGTCTTGAGGTGTTTTGACAATGCTTAATTGGCCACCTTCCTTGTTTGCAGCAGTGGCGGCCTTCACCTCATTGCACTGGTTTATGAACTTTGTTATCTCCTGATACATCAAATACAAAGGTAAGATGCCATGAGAAAGATCAAAGTCAGAAAGATCAATCGGTGTTCATATATTACTTATTAGGAATGGGTATTGGAATTATTCCAATTCCTGGCTTCCTCTACGTTTACTAACACATAAGGAATAAAAAATTATGTCTGTACGCCAATAACTTGAAAACCAAGAACTAGATTGATTGGGGGGAGTAGTTGTTCCTATTCTCATTCCTCTCTTCTCTTTCCGAATTTCTCCAATTCATGACTTTCCAGTTCCTAGTAAGTAATCATGTCCTTAAATATGAAAGAAATCAGTAGCAAAAGTTGCACATAAAGGTATAGGTTTTGGTCCTTAACATAGACTTGAGTTTCCACATCCTATAATCAAAAAACACATAAATGTGGGTGGAGTTTATTAACACATCCAATGAAGTTTTTCAATGAGAGAAATATTTAGATCAGTGAATTTGAATAAATTAATAGGAAGTATTGACTCAGTAATCAGTATACTATCTAGCTACTAGCACCTACTTCCAAGTTTACAACAAGGTGACTAAAACTCCTCACTTCTCACACTAAAGTCTTGTCATCTCTAAGAATGTGAAATCTCCTACCAACAAATTTTGGACACTTAATTATTACCATAGATAGGAAACAAAACAACGTAAGCTCAAATACTAATAACTTGAACTTGACAAAAATCTAATGCATTATAACAAACCCAAAAACAGCACCACAGTTTATAGGTAAAAGATCGATTAGCTATTCTCGAAATCATATAAGATTTGGGGGCTGCATCATCATAAATAATGGCAGCATTGTCTAAGCAGCAGACTATTTACTTCAAACCCGCAACAGGGAATCCATAGTCAAAGTTATATAGTCTGCAGTTGTTTTTCCAACTTATCATACCCTTGTGCAAAAGAAATTACCCAAATAAGACCAAAACAAAAGGTACGAAAAGGAAATGAAACAGAACAGAGTAAGCCTATGGAAATATCTGTGGAAGAGAATTTGATTGCCTGCAATATAAACTGAAAGAAAGGACATCACCTGTAAATTAATTGCACTTAGAGCCACTACATAATCAAATGACCCCAAAGAAATACTTTAAGGTCTACCCATATTCATCAAACTCTAAATTCAGTCAATTAAAGCTGGATGAGTGTTAAGTAGAATTTTGAGTGAGGCCACTACCAAAAATATCAATCTTGAGAACCAATTAATCCAATTTCTCATTAAAATCGAAAACATAATAAAAGAGAAGAAATGGGCAAAGGGCTAAAACTCTCAATTTGCCAGTTTCATGGTTACAAACAATTAGGGTTCACTGAAACCAGCACAAAAATGATAATTCGGGACTGCAAGTAATCCATTACTAACTAAATCAAATATTACAAAAGCATAATGAGAGAGAGAGAGAGAGAGAGAGGAGAACATACACGATCGGCATCCATATCACTGCTGATTTTAGAAGGTTTGATTACTCGCTTCCCTTTGCGAGTTTGAGTGATTTTTCCATGGCGGCTGGGAGGAATCGTTTTCTTCTTCTGCTGGCCTTTGAATAGCTTCCCTTTCTGCGTCATCGCTCTTTACTCGGTCTCACTTCTCAGTTCAGCCTTCTCTCTCTTTTCTAGGGTTCTGGGGGTTTTTAGGTTTTCTCTCTTTCTTTTAGGAATGCTCACATCCGGATTTTATATTTTTTATTTTATTTAAGGGAAGAAATGTGAAGTTTTCCATTACAAAACAAAAACAAAAACTTTCGTCGCCTGAGAGATTCGAACTCTCGCGGGGAAACCCCATGTACTTAGCAGGCACACGCCTTAACCACTCGGCCAAAGCGACTCTGCTGTACATTTTCTCTCTGTAACTAATTTAGACTAAAAAGTTGGGGGCTTTACTGAAAACATAAACACAACCGCACTCCGGCCCTTGTTTATTATGCAAGTGGATGCCATTTAAAAACCCTACCTGCTTTATTTGTTTATTTTTCTGATAATTTTTTTTAGGACAGCTCGATATGATTTGTACAAAAACACTCCTATACCACATGTAATCAACTCTTGACCCCTCACATAATCTATCTATATATAAAGCGAAAGACACAAATATTCAAAATATCACAAATTGTCATTAATTAAGTATTGAATTGAAAATTTTCATTAAATAATAATTATAATATAATAAATTAACTTTTTTCATATTAAAAAAATTAAAACTATAAACCGAAATAAGAACATGGGACCTATTTTTATGAGACACAACTTTTCTCATTTTGTTTTTGAAATTATCTTTCCTAATTCTAAAGTAGAAAAAAAATGGCACAGACTCGACCCCTAGCCTATTCAAGCTGGGCGACTGCACAAAGCCCCCCAAAATTTGGGGCCTTCAAATTATTTTAAACCCACTTATAAAAGAAATCGAAAAGGACCTTTACTTCTCCAAACTTCACCTTTTTAATTATTTTAACGTGTTTTCTAGCTCTCCCTCTCTCCTATCTCCCTCGGATGCACCGATACGCCGGATTTTTGGGGTATGCGCGTATCCGATACGCCCCCGATACGATACGGCACCGATACGGCTCCGATACGTATCCGATACGCCACGTGGCGTATCGTGGACTTTTCTGACCTGTTGACTTTGCGATACGGCTCCGATACTTCATCGATACGGTCACGATACGGTCGCGATACGTTTTCGATACGTCAGGGGGTAAAATTGAAAATAATTGGAAAATTTGGGGGTGATTCTGAAGGTTATTAAATATTTGGGGTAAAATTAAAACTTAGAAGTTCAAACACTCTGCCTATGTCGAGAGGCTAGGTTTTTTTGGGTCTCATTCAAACAGCAAACAAAACAGAAGACGGAGGAAGAAGGAAAGAGGAAGAAGGAAGAAGGAAGAGAAGTCGCACCCATGGCCGTTGATGAGCACAAAATTAATACAAGTTTTATCCTTAAATTTATATTTGTTAGTATTTTCTTTTGTATTATGTAAATCTATTAGAGTATTTGTATTGGTGATTTCCAATCTTTGTTTTTGTATTTAATGAGTGGTTGTTTGTAGATATTAATTGTCTTCCACCAATGGCATGAGAAGGAGGAGAAATAGGCAATGTGTTGCAAAAAGAGAGAAGAACTCAAGTTGGATTTGATGACTTTGCCTTTTACAGCTCATGCTGTACAGTCCATTTGCAGGCCTGAAAACCGAATTCTCCCATGCTCAAATGAATAAATATCCTTCATGAAATTTGTTCATTGGCCGTCGCACCCATAGCCGTCGCCATCTCAGATTCATTTGGGGTTTCTTACGCAGCAGAGCAGCTCAAGGTTTTCTTTCTGTTTTCTTTTAATAAGCTGCTTTGCTGTTTTGTTAGTTGGGGTTGGGTATATAATTTTAAAAATTGTTGTGTGGTAGTTTGTGAAGTTGGAATTGTTGTTAATTAGATAATAGGTACGTATATGCTATATTATATGGGTTGGGTATATAATATATTCTTTAAAATATTTTGGAAACAGCTGCCTATGAAGTTATGTGTTTTGTTAATGTTTTGAACATATTATGGATGAAATATCAATTATCAATTATTCTATTTATATTATTATTTTTAAATATATATTATTTTAATTGCCGTATCGGTGCCGTACCCGTATCCTACTTTTTGGAGATTTGCCGTATCGGCGTATCGTATCGTATCGTATCGCCGTACCCGTATCCGTATCGGTGCAACATCTTCCTTCCTTTGTCTCTTAACCCTAGCCGCAACTCCCTCTCATAATGTCTCTTCCCCTCCAGATTTCTCCACTCCACTTGCTGCTACATCAACTCTCTGGTCTCGCCACCGATGCTTAGACCCTGTATGTATATGCCCCTCTCACTTTGTTTAATAGAAAGACATTAACTTTATTTAGTTCTGTGAAATTGGCTTTGTGGGTTGTGATTTTGGGTTGATGATGAAGTTTTCGGAGGCTTTTGTTTCGGCACAAGCTGTACCAGCTTCGTGAAAACAGGGACATAAAGCCTGAGACTTTTGCGTCTCTGCTATTCTTTATGAGAAAAGGTTTGAAATTTTCTTGAGCAATTTGATAATGAGGTGCTATTGAATATGTTAGCTTAATCTGAAAGTTGAGGTCTGTACAATCATGCCTTTTTGTGATTTAGGTTTGGTCCATACTTCTGTGTTCTGTCTGTCAGCCTGTAATTGCTAAGCCATTCTTCTGCACTATGGGTCCATACTTTTTCGCATTTTTAGAGCTGCTGGGATGGGATGCTAAGGACTTCAAACAAATTTCTTCAACCTTCCTAAATAGAATACATATGCATGCTTACTCGTATTTTGATTATATATGTTTATCTGCATCTATCATTTCATATTGGTATTATTTGTCTTCTGTGTAGGCGGGTTGAGCCACTGAGCTGACGAAGTCCTCCTTCACCTCTTCTTCATCTGCTGCTTCTATTTTGGGTATAGGTATGAAACTAGTTTCTCTGTTTTTAATTTTTTTCAATTTTTTGGCTGTGCAAACCGACATCATAAAAGCTAGCAACCATAGACTAGATTATAATCTCACATGTAAACTAAATTGATTGAGAAAGACAAAGTGATGTTGATTGGTGGACTTTTGGAATCTTTTTATATGAGCTGTTGTTTGGTAAAACTCCTTTTGGATGGACAAAGTGCTGTTAAATGGTTTCTATTGGATGGAAAGAACTTTTTGGGATAATTCAGGGACCGTTAGTAGTGAGGTTAAGTTGTTTTCTTAAGTTGTTTGCAAATATGGTAATTTTCTTATTCAATTCTTATTTTGATCATCTTGTATCCTAAAATTTGTGTTCATTGAAACTGCTTTTATGTGCAGTATGGGGACAGTGCTGGAAACTGGGCATCCTTCAATGAAATGGAAATTATGAACTTGTTTTTTGGATAGCCTTTCATTTCTTAGTTTTATCATATTGTATTCATTTCTTATGAACTTTAGAATGTTTGTTTTGATGGAAATTGTGAACTTA